GAGCTTTCAGTAAGATTTTATTCGGGCACAGTACCCAACTTTTTCACTAGGTGAACACCAGACTCCATTACTGCCCATATAAGGGCGCCAACCAGACTCCATTACTGCCCATATAAGGGCGCCTCCATTTTCATATGTTTTGAGTGATCTGAGCCATGTATTTCCATAATTTTCATACAATTTATGAAGTAGACATCCTATTCAGAAGTAGTATGGGTGGTTTGGCAGTATTTGATTTGAATTAAACCTCTAATAAATGCATAAAGACTACGTTATAGCGTTATAGCTCGCAGCGCATTACAAATCGAGAATCCATTTTCTTTATATTTAAAACATTTTCAGACCTTTTTTTCTCATAAAATGGAATTGGTGTTATCTTTTGAACTCATGGCATGAAAACAAACTGAGGTTTCTACCAATCTTTCATGATTTTTCATGTTTATTGTTATTTCAAAATAAAGGCCTAAATACTCCTAATGAATATGAAATATTCTTGTTGCAAATTGATAAATTTCTGCTCCTCTGTAATATATTTTAGATAACAGCCACCAAATATGAAAACTAGAGATTTTAAGCTTTCAAATGATATATAGTTTGGCAATATTACTTTAGGTTTTTACTAAGATATTATTGTTTTAAACATGCAATGGCAAATGGGCCCGCCGGCGGGTTCTTAAGGTTCTTATTGCTACTCTAAGGCACTAATATGCACGTTTAAGGGTAGATAACTTACAAAGTTGTCCCTTTGAGGGTACATCCCCAGCGACAAGTTGTACCCCTAAAGGTTACATTTTGTACATTTCAATGGCAGTTGCTCGGCTGTTGGAGGACCCCTTGGAAGGACCCAAAATTGACTATCCAATAATCTACAACTCTTTAGATCTGACAGGTTTTATGATCTTCATTAAAGTTAAACATTAGCTGTCTATCTACATTCCTACTGAGAAGCAAATCATTTTTTTTTTCATCAACGAGTTGCTTGCTGCATGCTTATGGTGCCATTTGGACAAATGACTGTCGAGCCAAGAGGTAAGGTGCGGCTCGCCCAACCCGGATCGACCCCAATCGACCGGGGTCGATGCCATGAAGTATATGGATGGGACTTTCCTTCCTCCACACTATCGGCCTTAAAAGAAGGGCTATTTGTCTTAAAGCGGGGATCATTTATCTGTGCTTGGCCCTATTGTGTGGAGCAGGGTAGTGAGGCAACAATTGAGGAGATCGTCTCTGGGATTAACATGGTTAGGCAAAAAACCAATACCAACGCTGACGAGGCTCTTTAAGATCTCAATAGCAAAAAAAGAGACATGCAGTCAGACGTAGCAGCTTTAAAATGTACAGTGTTTTGCATGAATGGAGTCTGTCAGGCTGGTTAAGATGGCTGCAGGTAGAGGCAAGTTAAAGTAAAACCAACCTCCAGACCTCCCGGTTGAGTATGAGGAGTATATTTTGTACATGAGGCAAGCTGGAACGGAACTGGCAATAATTGAAGTAATTTCTGTGATTGCTGGTGTAGGTCTTGGAGGATTGATTCTAGTTGGTTTGGGTGGGACGGTCAGATCGAAAGCCAATAAAACCAAGATGATTTCAGAATGGTTTTGATGTTTTTCTCTTTATACTTAGAGCTATTGTGGCTCTTGTGTTTTTGATACTATTTTTGGCCAATATATGTCCTGAAACGTTACTGTTGTGGAACTGTCCGTGGTTCTGAAATATAACTGAATATAAAGAGTTGGAATGGAAGACATTTTGAATGAAAAGAGGATTGTCCTCAATCCTAATGTCTAGAATGTTTCTTTCCTGATCATTAAAGGACAACCTTTGACCACTATATTGATAGTTCACCAAAAAAAAGAAAATTCTGGCATTATTTATTCACACACATTTCTTTCCAAACAAGTATGACTTTCTTCTGTAGAAAAAATAATAATAATATATATATATATTTTTTTTGGTGTCTATAATGAACATAAATGGGGTCCAATGTTGTTTGGACTTCAAAATATCTTTTGTGTTCAGTACAGATTTGGATTGACAAATGGTGAGTAAAGATGACAGAATTGTCATTTTTTTTTGGTTGAACTATATCCCTTTAACCTCCTGCTCCAATTGAATCTCAAATCTAACCCAAGCTGCAGTGACGCAAAAGAAAGCTCATTTCTGGTTCCCACAGCTGCACATCATTCTCCTGAAAGCTTATGCTCCTGATCGTGAGGGAGCTATCTCTTTATAGAAGCTATCCTGTGAGTCCCTGCATCAGTAGCATTGATCCTGCAGAAAGAGTGTAAATCCATCAAGCCAGATGCGCCAAAGCTTCTCTGCTTGCTATCTGAAGAGCGCATGTGTTTGAATCATTCTATACTATTTTTATACTTTCATTTCCAGAGTATAAGGACAAGCATGAATGGGAAGCAATGTAGATATTTCCCCCTTTTAGCAAGTCACTAAAAATTGGCTTTGCGGACACTCATTTGAATCTGTTCTACATTTTGATGGCTTGAAAGTCAGTTTGAAACCAGTTTCTTGCCTTCATATACAAAACAACACCTGTTTAGAAAGACAGAAATATGTATTCTATGGTGTTTACAATGCTCTTCAAACTGGACATATATACTGTATAGTACTAGCTAACAAAAATAATTTATAAAAACGGTTTGCTAACGTTCCCATTAAGTTATGAAAAAAATATTTCTGAATGTTCTCAGAGTGTCCAGTTTAAAAAAAGTTTTTTTTTTCTCAGTTATGTGAACATTATTTTCCTCCTGTTTTGATAATGTTTAATTAAAAATATATTTGAGTTAACATTCTGTTAACATTATTGGAAACACTTTGAGAAAGTTCCCTGCTAGCTGGGCAGTGCAGGGCGATTTCACATAGGCTACTGGTCATAGCAGGTCAAAATCTCACACAGACCCCTTCAAGACAAACACTAGGCAAGTTCAATGTCAATGAGCCTCTCGCACCCTCCATTCACCCAAATTCAGCTCTGAAATCTCTCTGGGGATGTTTCAGGATGCCAGAGGGGGAGCTGCACAGTCATTCACGTGAAAGATTGATTTAACACACGCGGGCAGCTGTGGCTGGCTCGCGCTCTGGCGGAGTGCCTTTCTATGACGTCAAAGGCTCCTGCCTGCTCGTGTGGGCGCGCGCTCGCTCGCGCGGGGAGAGACACGCGCTGACAGAAGCGCGCTACGTGCTCAGAGTGGGAAACAGATGCGCTTGGTGGCCGATCGAAAAGACAACGAGCAAGAAACTGAAGCCATATGAAAAATGCATTTATGTGCATTACCAGCGTACTTTGGAGACGATATGGAAATGTATCTCGTACTTCTCCTCTCTGCGGCAAAGAAAAGCCATTGCAATAAATGAAATAACGTATTGCATGAAATATTTTCATCATTATCTGAGATGGGTCCTTATGATCATGTGCACTATCATTGCTTTATTCAGTCTTAAACTTAGCATCATCAGATTTCAGATATAACAAATGTATTATATTTCAAATAAATGACAATTTCTGCAAAAGGTTTAAATAGACATTTGTGGCTGGTAGAATAAATGCATTCCAATAATTCGACCTATTAAATAAAAATACTTTATGCAAAAATTAACATTTTATTCATGTAGCCTACTTTTTTTCTTTTTTATATAAATAAAAACTACCGATTGCAACAAAACGCATGAGTATATTTAGCTAGACTTATGTTGTCATGTGAACAATCATTCTGTAACTATAGTTACTCTCTCACGAGCCTTGCAGCATAAGAGTAGCTGTTCTTGTCGTAGTTTCATGGCCAAAGTATTGCGGTTAAGTAAGGCAGATTAATTCAGTAGCCTAACAACTAAACTCACATTGTATAGGCTACTTGTTGATTGATTACTAAAAAGATCCGGTTGGTGAGAGTCACTCGTTCTGGAATCATCTGGTTTTAAAACACTGTAAAGCACACCCTCAGAAGAGTCATTCTTTAATTCACGAACCAAACCCTTAAACGCACATTTTGTGTCTTTAGTGACCGGTGATGTCATTCACTACCCTCCACCTCATTCATTTTTTTTTTTTAAAAGTTAGACATCAACCTTCTTTGTATTCCTCAATCAATTCATTATAAACTAAATAAAAGGAATTTTTTTAAATAAAAAAAATGCAATACTTCTTCATTAGTTCCTGCAGGCAGAAAACAAAAGAATAGAAAGTATCATCAGCAAAACATGAAATGGCTCAGTGATTTCCTGCAGAGCAAGTACTGAATGCCAGATATTAGTGTCACTGTCATGATGGTGGATCTGCTGAAGAAGCTGTCAGAGATCAAAATATTGATTTTGAAGACGTTGAAAATGATAGTTTTGAGAATATGAGCCAGATGCTGAATGTACTGGGGAATGAGCTCTGATGAGGACAGTGATGACAGTATAAAACATCTGCTCAAACTGAACCCTTTCAAGCTCCAAAAGGTAACAAAATATGCTTTATTAATTCTTCTGTAATTGTTACTTTAATATAAGGAGAGTTTTATATTATCGCAACAGGTAGTGATCTATCCTTGTTAGATATAAATCCGGGTAGCTAAAGACCCGAATATGTAATGATGATTGGGGAAACATTCATGCATTTAGGGTTTAAGTGATTCATCAAAAAGAACCAGCTCGAGAACTGAACTTGCTAATGATTCACAAAAAAAGAACAGATTTATTAGTTCGATAATCGGACTGTGTGCATTGGTTGTGTTGTATATTTTTGTTACACACACACACACACACACACACACACACACACACACACACACACACACACACACACACACACACACACACACACACACACACACACACACACACACACACGAAAAATCTGATTATTTTTAATTTCGTTGTATGATGAAAAGAATCATTTAGAGTCATTGAGTCATTCGTTCAGGAATCGGAGTACACTGATCCAGGATCCAGTTGTAACCCCCCCCCCCCCCATCTTTCTCTCTCGCCAGCTCAGTCCGTATCTCCGTCGGTCTGAGTCTTCAGCGCTGGCAAGGGATAATAAACTGCCTTTCCGCAGCAATACGTGGTGAAAGGAAGAGCCCGCAACAGAGGTAAGAATGCAGTCTCTGAATTCAATCATTTCTGTGTAAAACCAAGCTCGTGCGATTTTACTATTACTAATTTTTTTTTGTAAAATCAATATCCTCTCCATTGATGAGAAGTGATTCATTTGGAAAGCCACCTGCATGCTGATCTGTGTGCGCAGGGGGTTTGGTGAGCTGTGTGTTGCATCCCCCAGTTGAAGATAACACGGGGTTTATCAGATATTTTCTGACACTATCAGAGTTTTAAAAGATGCTTAGGTTTTAAAATGCATCCCAAACCAGAATCAGCAGATTCAGGGCATTTATAAATCCCACGCCGGGACATACTGACAATTTTCATAGACTTTAGATGTTCTTTTACAGCAGTTTCAAGTGAAGATGATGTTGATTATGTCATTTCTATACATTTGTAGCCTACATTTCTTATACATTTCATATACACTCATGCATGTGTGTTTCGCTTTCTTGGCTCTAGCAGGCTTGAAGAACTGCTTTAGTGTTCTAAAGGAAATGCCTGTCTACTTTTTGTATTTCTAGTCTTTCAATAATTAAAGAGCGAATCATTTAGGGGAATTGTCTCTTCTTGGCATGCTTTCATCGTAGCCCTATCTATTTGTCTTTGGAAATGAAACGTACTGATGGATATGAGCGATGGAGAGGGGGTGCTGGGAGAGATACGGGACGGGGGAGAGCGCCATCGTTTGATTTATAACCTCACAAATACGCAGCGACTGGCGAAGCCTGGGGTCTCCGCTTTGACTCGCTGTCATTTTAACAGCAGCCGCCGATTACACCAGAATACTGATAACAGTAACACACAGAAGAGCTCCCTCTGCAAGGGCTCCAGAAAGCTCTTTACCACAGCATGGAGAGAAATCAATGTGATTAGGGAGCTTCAATGCAACCACACCTGTTTCATTACAGCACACAGACAGCGGCAGCGGGAATATACGAATAACGCTCGAATCGAGTTTTGTAGCTGTTAGTCGTTTTTTTATTTATTTAATAATTTTTACCTTTAAGCGATTTATATGATGGTATACTACAAAAATTTGACAATTTGTGCTATTTGTTTTCTTTATTCAATTATTTTAAATCATTATATTAATGAAAACATCGTATAAATTTCGTCAATATTCACATTATATGCATTTTAATGTAGCCTATAGAAATATTTGCAATTAGATCAAATAAATTTCACCTTTTTCTCTTGTCGGCATGAAACAGAAGATGCATATCTTTTCTTCCACATTTCAACACTTTGAAACTAAAACACCTGTTTGACCACAGTAATTTATTAGTTTTGTAGTTCCTGCTTTGTGGACGGTACAGCACGAATTCGTCTTGGGGGAATGGCAGATAGGCTACAAGACCTTCACAGTGGCCAGAGGGATTTTGAGCCATTTCTCTTCCAGAACAGTGTCCACTATGTAATGTTGGTTAAGGGAAAACGTTTTCTGACTTGTTCCTCCAAAACACCCCAAAGTGGCTCAAACATATTCAGATCTGGTGACTGTACAGGCCATTTCACTTTCATGTTCATCAAACCATTCTGTCACAAGTATCGCTGTGTGTATTGATGCATTATCATGCTGATACACGGCACCCACATCAGGGTACAATGTTTGAACCATTAGGTGAACATTATCCTCCAGAATGGTTCGGTGGTCCTTGGCAGTGACGCCCATCAAGCACAGTAGGGAATGCCATGATATTGTAGCTCAAACCATCACTGATCCACCGCTGTGCTTCACTCTGGGCAGCAACAGTCCCGATGTTAAGCCTCTTTGGGGCTTCTCCGCAACATAACTCCCACGGATGTGGGAAAGATAGTGAAGATGGACACATACAGAGAACAATACATGTTTCACATTGTCCACAGCCCAAGATTTGAACCATCGGCACCAATGAAACCGACATTTGGCATTAGCATGAGTGACCAAAGGTTTGCCTATAGTGGCAGTTCGAACATAAATATTGACTCTGTGCTCCAGACGAACCGTTTTGGTGGAAATAGGAGAGTCGAGGAGCTCATTTAATTCTGCAGTGTGTTGGGCAACAGTGGTTTTATGTTGTTTTTTTTGGATACAATCCGGGTTAGTACCGGGACATCCCTTTCAGAGAGCTTCCTCTTGTGTCGACAGTTACACCTATTGGATGCAAGTCGTCCTATGCGGTGGTATGCCGACATTACCCTGGATACCATAGCTCTCAATACACCATAAAGACATGCTATACTGGTCACAGAGCCAGAGAGACGCACACCAACAATTTGTCCTTTTGTGGACTCTGATATGTCTCCCATTATGCTGTGTGGATTGCAATAATTCATATACAGCTGTGCTATTGCTCTGCTATTTCAACTTTCACACTTTTTACTGATGTTATATCAGTGAAGATTGGCCACCAAACCATGCATATATAGGTGAAACCTCCAACACTATATTGGACAGGGATTCAGTTTCATTGTCCAATCACTATGTCTGAGTAAAACTGCTTCTTGTAGGGCGAGACTTGTTTTTGTCCATTGGGAGTTGATTGGATGGTTGTATAGTCATGGTTTGCTATTGTTCGATCTCATGTGAGTGACAGGTTGCCCCGAGATGTTGCAGTAAGAGGAAAAGAGGAAGTTGTTTTGATTAAATATTAGGAGGGCACTTGAATGAGGGCACGAACAAATCATTTATAATAAATGCAATATTCCATAAAAAGTAAAAAAAGAATTGTCAATTTTGATTTTGATTGAATGTTGTCATGTTGTCTTTAAGGAATGGTATCAACTAAATCATTTTGCTGACAAACTCTAATATACCCTGCCCACGACTTGTTTTGTAAAAAAATATTTTTCGAAGATTATTAGAGTACGTTGCCGTTTCTTTGAAACCTTTTACACTCAGAACTTACACTCAGAAATTGCTAGTGAATTTCACAAGTAAAGTAAAATAAAAGTGACTAGTAAATCCTACGCCAAATTTTCTTCAGTGGAAATACGTTAGCATGGAATCAAGTACTGTCATTAGGTATTTAAAATGAACACAAAATGGCATTTGCTTCTGTAAAGAACAAGTAGATACACGACAAACAGGATATTTAACAAGAAAAAAAAATACATATCCTAATTTTTTTATCAAAAATGAATGGGCTTCGTTTTATTATCGGAAACTGATTAAATTGTAAAAAGGGGCGGAGTTGAAAAATACCACTACTTAGTGGTGTCACTCGAAAAGGAAAGTTATTCTTGACCATGGTCTTATTGTAGAAGATGTAATGCAGGTTATTCCACACTGTAAAAAAAACGTTGGTTTAACTTAAAAAAGTTGCCTTATTTTTGAATTTGTTGAAATTAAACAATTTTAGTTGATACAATGAAGGAGATTGGTTTAATAAATATAACTTTTAAAAGATTGTGTTATCTGAACAACATTAATTATCGAAGTTGATTTGACAAAAGAAAAAAAAGTAGCGATGACAAATTATGAAAATAATTTTTTACAGTGCAAAAAAGGTGTTGTAAGAAAGTAAATAGGGTTCGTTTAGATTTTGATTGGCTTTTTTTACACTGCGCTTGCAGCAGATTTACTTATGGTTTGGACGAGAAGCTGAGTCTTGGGTTAAACCACAATGACTGAATTCTTAAGATGATGAATTGACCCCTCACTGCCAAAGCCTATTTGCCCCATATGGCAATGCTGAGTGTGTGACTTCATTATTTGCAGCCTGGTTTGCAGGCTTTTGATTTATCTCCGGCCTTTTTTAGACACATCCAAAGGTGCCAGAAGTGAGTCACGCAGCTGCTTGTTTAAAGGTGCAGGTTCACGAAAGTCGTGTGTTTAAATTAATCGTGAACTCATGCCCACGCGTCCACCCCAGCATGTTTGCCTGCGGGACTCTCTCTGTGCTGTTTTAATGAACGCACACGATCCAATGTTGCCAGCAGGCGCATAATGACATGCTATAGGCATATGGTTGGCTGGTCAATGGTAGATCTATTTCATATCGAGATCACATAGAGAGGGGCAGATACAAAGCATGAAAGAGCAAGCGAGACGAAGGGATTCGAGATGCTGAAAGAGCACGCACACAATCCGTACTTTGATGTTCATGTGTCTGTGACCCAAGCGTGCCTGCCAATAAAGACAAACTGACCCTCTCTAATTTATAATACAATTACTACAGCCTCTTGAATACGAAATCTGAATGAACATCCTGAATATTAATGAATGACTGTATTTAGTTTTATTAACCCTTATTAAATGCATAAATGTTTCGCCAATCATTATTACATATTCGGGTCTTTAGCGACCCGGATCTATATCTAACACGGATAAATCTCAAACGCAGGTTTTTAGAATGTATGTTCTGAAAAAAAAAAAAAAAAAAAAAAAAAAACATATTAAAAGTTGGCCTGGTTTATGTTACTAAAAAAATATGGTTCTTTAATGGTTCTTTGTTGTACTTTTTTTAATAGATTTTTTTAGGAAAGATCCTAAAATCCCAAATTTTATGCTCCTCGGTTTCTGAAAAGAACTATTTAAAACCGTGTCTCTCTATATAGAGTTCTTGAGTTAACTGTAGTACTTCTGTTATATTTTATAAATTGGCGTTTGAACCTTTTTAATATTTAATGCATTTAAATAAATTCATATTTGAACTCTTAAAGGGATACTCCACTTTTTTTTGGAAATAGGCTCATTTTACAACTCCCCCAGAGTTAAACTGTTGAGTTTTACCGTTTTTGAATCCATTCAGCCGATCTCCGGTTCTGGCGGTGCCACTTTTAGCATAGCTTAGCATACATCATTGAAGTGGACAAGACCATTAGCATTTCAAAAAAAAAAAAATGACCAAAGAGTTTCGATATTTTTTCTATTTAAAACTTGACTCTTCTGTAGTTACATCGTGCACTAAGACCGACGGAAAATGTAAAGTTGCGATTTTCTAGGCTGATATGGCTAGGAACTATACTCTCATTCCTGCGTAATAATCAAGAAACTTTACTGCCGTAC